GGCAGAAGAGGATGACATTAGATAATAGAAGGCTGTAGCTTAGTCAGTAGAATGCTTGCTTGCCTAGCGTGTTTGTGGTCCTGGGTTTGGCCTTAGGAACATACAAACCAGGTATGGTGGCTTAGATAATCCTTCCAGTATACAGGGTGTTTAAATCCAGCCCAGGCTACATGACATCCTGTCTCAACAACAGTAATAACACAAGCTAAAAAAGACCACTGCATTAATCACAAAGCAATGTAAACTGGGCAACAACAGAAATGGAGGACAGGCAGGTACACACAAAGGCAAAGAGGATGTGGCAGCTACCTAGGCCTACTAGGGGAAGTACCAAGATGACTTAAGAGGATATAAGTCTGGTTGCCTGGAAAAATGGCTGAGTCACAAAACAGAATAAGTATTACATTAAACATAAATGCCTTGGAGGTAAGTGGAAGAGTAGATCACAGATGAGGCGGTTACCCCATCTCATTTAAATTCTGGAGTCTGGGACCTCTACAGCTTAAAAACAAACAAAAACCCCAAACAACTTGGAGTGAGTCTGAGGACCTGAGCTCAACCCTTGGAACCAAGGTAAGATGGAAGGAGAGAATCAATTCCAACCATAGTTGTTCCTGGGTCACGTGCATATCATGGATCTTGGCACATGTAACTCTCCACACACACACACACATCACGTATACAGTGTTAAATAACACTTAAAATCTAAAGAAATAAAGAAGTCTGGAACCTATCACAGCCACAAAATGAGACTTGATCATGATTTTTTTTCTACCAGGGATCCTTTAAAAGCAGTAAAACAGATAAGCCATCAAGAGCACCACACTAAGAGAACCCATCAGCTTCAGAGACTAACTTCAAAATATGTCAAGTACTTACTGAATGACTGAGGAAATGTTAACACCAAGTGCTAAAAACTTGTTAGTAACTCCCTCTTCTTCCAGTGCGAGGGAATCAAGCCAAAGTCCTCCATGTGCTAGGCAAGCCTTCTACCACTGAGCTATATTGTCAGCTTCAAAGAGTGGCTTTTAAAAGATGTGTCTTGATTTATCTGAGTATTTCTCTTAAAAACCTAGTTTTTCAATCATACACCATACCATATGAAATAAAAACAGTGGCTCATGCCGGTGGTCTTACCATTTGGGAAGACAGGAGGATCATGAGTTCAAGCCATCTTGATACACAGAAAGTAAGAGGCAAGCCTAGGCTAAATGAGAGGGTCTCAAACTCAAACGCACACAAAAACTGTGAGTTCAAGGCTAGCCTAAGCTGCACAGTGGAACCCTACTTCATTGTGTTTTAATGTTCCCTCCTTCAAATTGCACCTTTAATAAAGGTGTTCTGGTTAATAAATTAAGGGGGAATGGTATAAATTAAAGTGCAATTAAACTACTGCCTTTTCAAACCACAGGGAAATGACAGAGCAGGCTGGGAATACAGCAGAAAGGAAAAATGTCTCCAAGGTCTCCAAATAGAAGCAGCAAACATAAAACATACTTGATCTCTCCTCCTAAACTTTTATTCAGAAATAAGAAGCTGACTGCTCTGCTTGGTCTTCAAGTGAGCTTCCAACTAGAGAAAACACAAAGGACAGCAGGCTATGCTAAACTAGGACATGTTAAAACTATGCCAGGAGGACAAATTCAAAATCCCAGATGGGAAAAACCTGAGGAAAAGGGTCTGCCTCCTTCAAATAAATTACATAGACGAAAAACATCAGATTTCAGAGACATCAGCCACATACAGCATAGGACCTTATTTGTATCCTTGATCAAGGGCACAACAACAAAACAAAACAAAAAAACCTCAATACATAAATATAAACACCACTTCGGAAAACCCGGATACTGATGGGTTTTCAGTGACATTAATTTTTAAAGGTAGAATAATGTGATTATGGATTTTTCTGAAGACTTCTATTTTTAAAAGAAAGAGGTGAAAGAGGTGGAGGCAGGAGGATCAGGAGTTCGAGATCACCCCTTGGATCCACCTTGAGTTCCAGGCCAGCAAGGGATACATGAGACCCTAGGTCTCAAAAAATTAATTAAAAAACTTTTAGGTCAGGCAGTGGGGATGCACACCTTTAATCCCAGCACTCTGGAAACAGAGATAGCTGGATCTCAGTGAGTTCAAGGCCAGCCTGGTCTACACAGAGAAACCTGTCTCAAAAAAAACCCAATTATAATAATACAATCTCTTTTAGAACTACATACCAAAATATTTAGAGATGAAATAATTTCCTCTAGGATTTGCTTTATAACAATCCAGCAGAAGCTGAGGAATGTAGGAAGGGATAGCAATGAGACACTAGTGGCTCAACCATTGTCAATTAACATTTTTCCATTCTACTAAGAATGTAGAGCGGAGTAAAGAGGAAACAAAAAATTTCAGCTTCACCAATAAAAACAAGAGAGCAGAAATGGCTTTGAATTTATCTACAAGTTTTATAAGCTGGGCAATTCTGGTGTATGCAGTCACACTACCTCAGGATTCCCACTGGTTAAAATGGAGATAATAAACTTGTGTTTGCTCCAGCTCAGAACCTGAGCCACATCCTTAACTCCAACTCGGCTCCTATGCTCTAAAATACCTAAAACCTATCTGCTTTCCTTTCTCAAGGATTCCCACTAGGTATTCCCATACGGTCCCACTCTAAGAACCCCTCTACCCTGCTTTTTCCCTGTATCCTGCTCAGCCACTTAAACAGCTTTCAACCAACTTCAAAAGTTCACTTGACTGTTTAGTCTTTTCCTGTGTCATTAAAATGACTACAGGCCCTCCATTAGCTGACACTTCTTTTCCCTCATTATTTTTGACCTCTCTATGATTAGTTTCTGGTGAAAGTCTTTCAGTGTCTGCATGGCCCCAGCACCATCTTCAACGGCCTTTCAACCTATCACCTATGCCTACCTAGCTCCCACTGTCAAACCTCAGACTAAATATTATTTCCTCAAAGAGGCATCCTTGTGTTCAAGTTCCATATTCCTAGTCCTCACAGGCAATTAAAAGCACTAAGTAGGCATTATTCAGGAATCCAGACCTTGCACAGAATGCATTCTAGGAATTGAAGCACAATGGGAATGAAGGGTTTAAGAAGTTGGGGAAATATTAATCTAACACTATTTTTTGCCTGAGTTTATAGGTATCCATGTTTACTCTCCTTATGCCCTGCCATCCTTAATCTGTTTAGGATTATGTAAATCTTAAAGCTAAATCTTTAAAACTCAAAATACTCCTCAAACTAAGAACCTGCATATTTAACAAGGTCACCCAATCTGTGAAAAACTAAAAGGACCTACTTAAACCCACAATGAAATTACTGAAATACACTCAATTAAAAAAAATTAATCCTACCTGGGCACGGTAACAGACTGCCTTTAATCCCAGCACCGGGAACACAGAGGCAGGCCTATCTCTGCATTCTACAGTTCCAGGACAGCAGGGCTACCAGAGAAACCCTTTCTCAACAGCCCCCCAACCCCCAATACTACAATTACGGCCTAATATCTTATTGGTCATTTCTTATGGTACTTGGGAGGCAAAGTCGTAAAACGTGGATATTTTTACTTTGTTTTTGAGAAAGGTCTCACTCTGTAAACCTATATACCTCCTGCCTTTACACCTTGGATTTAATTCATGAAAGGCTAAGGGACCGTCGAAAAACAAGACCTTATCTCACACACACACATCCCCAAAGACTTGCATTTGGAAGCCTCAGTTATCAATTAAAATAAATGAACGAGTGAATGAATGAATGAATGTGAGATGCAGTCTCTCTTACCTTATTCAGCGGGCATCTGAGGGGGGGCAAATCACGCTGCTTGACTTAGTTCCTACCCACCATTTCCCAAACTCTCATACAATTACTAATCTCACACGTCAGCATATACTCATTTTGTTTCAAAACCAGAATGACTTTTTTTTTTTCAATGCGGGCGATCAAACTTTGGGGCCTCAGGCATGGTAGGCCAAGGCAGGTTCTCTTAACCACTGAGCTACACACACACACACACACACCCCAGCCTAAATCTAATAACGCCTTAAGATTTCAAAATTAATTATGATTTTAAAAAAAAGTAGCACGTCACTAAGTAACCACTAGCAGTAGAGGGCCGGTTTATAATGAGCTACTGGAAGACGGGAAAAGGCTGAAGTAGTAACACGTGCGTTTCCTGGTTGAGCGATCAGAAACTAGTTTTTGCAACTGCTGGTTGCACCAAATACGTCAACCTAAAAAAGGCTAAAATGCACTCGGGAAAAGGGATGCAACTGGCAGAGAAAGCGTGCTCTGACCAAATGTAACGCTCTTTAAGTCTTCTCTACGGGGATGCCCTGAGACCCCGTGCCCGGGGCGGACGCGCCTAAGCCACAGGTTGGACCACAAAGAGCCCCTATCCCAAACCCCCCCCCCCCCTTTCCTCAAAGTTCACTCAGACCCGTGGTCTTTTAAGGCGGTCGGCAATGCGGTCCTCACACCACCCCAGCAAGGCACCAGGTGGGACACCGATTGGCAGGCGGGGGAGGCTGGGCTGGCATGCCACGAGTTCCAAGTAACTCCCGCCCCAGTCCCGTCCCTCCGAGCAGAAGGCAGCAGGAGAGCACCACGTGAACCGGCCTCGGCTCGTCCCTCTTCCCGATCCAAGCATCTCTCCAGGCGCCTACCGTAGCCTGGACTTGGAAGCGTCTCCCCCAAGGTCACCGGGCACCGTGACCTGACTCCCGCAGCCCGGTGGCCGCCCCGTGACTACGGGGCCCGCGGCTCGGCCGGGAGAGACGGCGTACCCATCGCCTCAAGGTCCCCTTCACCCACGCCACGTTCCGGGGCCGTGCGGCGCCGCGCGCCCACGATGCCCTCTGTCGGGACGTGCCCTCCAGCCACCCGCCCCGTCTGCCACGGGGGACGAGAGTCTCCGCGTGCCTACCGGGCTCCGCGACCCCTCGGGGCACCAAGGGCACCGCAGAGTCCACGCGGCGCGCTGCCGGGCTCAGCCCGCACTGACCGTTATGTGTGCCTCGCGGCGCCCAGAGTATCGCGGGCCGCGGGGCCTCGGAGCCGGGGGTCCCGCTCGCGTCCGCCGCCGCCGGCTTCGTTGGCTGCGGCACCCGAACGGCGGACCGGTCACGTCGCAGCTCGCCACTTTGTCTGGCGGGGCAGGCGCGGCTGCCTTATAACCCGCGGGGGCCGGAGCATGCGCACAGGGGGAGGAGCCAGCCTCCCCGGCCGCCGCCCCCTCCCTGCCATACATCCAACCCAGCTCCGCATCGCGCGCCTCCACGCGCTGCCGGCCGCGCGCGCCCGCCCGCCCGCCCGCTCGGCCGCGCGCGCCGGCG